GTTGGGCATATTAATATTAGTACACTTAGTTTCTATATCGAGGCGACGGGTTCGATTCCCGGCTCGGTAATAACTATAGTTTTCGATTGTTATGTTGTCTAGTGTGTCCTTGTATCTTTTTGCTTCTTATCAATACATTGTCTTTTTGTTTATTACCACCTGGGCAGTGACGTGCAAGTCGCCTGTCATGACGGGGGGGGGGGGGGGGGGGGGGGGGAAGGAGGGTGGGGGGGGGGGCTTGATAAAAAGCGAAACAGTCAAGACACCTTGCGTTACCGAGTAACCTGCTGTCCCAACGTGGGTGAGTATTCTAAGAAAATTGTGTTTCTGCTCGCATATATTAAGAGAACAAAGGTAAAGGTAGGTGATAGGATCGACTTCATTGCGACGGGATTTATCCTATACGGCTCAGTCTCTCTTTGCAGAACAGCTAGCTGCCTGCCAAGAATGTCGCACAGAGACGACCTCCGTAGCTCCGCCGAAGATCACCAGGACTCTCCGTAAAAACTACACTCATGAACTGAACGGCGTGAAACCAACCCACGACCTTCAGAACGCAAAGGATACGGCGTGGCCACTTACTCACGCAGAACCCCTATTGGAGAACTCTTCTAGCCAGGGCGGTGCATTTATTTACCCAAGAAGAAGATGGCTGCTCCCAGTAGTCGGTTGCTGAGGTGGAGGACGAAGGCGATACTCGATGTAGCGGCCTCTGCTTATAACAAAACAGTAGGTTTTTTCTTGACTTCAGAAACATTTCAAACTTGCTAACACTTTTAAAATCTTCAAAAGATTAGAAGAACGATAACACAAGTTTTATGTTGGTTTTTTTATTCTTCTTTGGCTACCTGTTTAGTAGGTACTAACTAGGTACTTAAGTCAAATTTTTAAAATGCCCTCTAGCCCCTCTTCACCAATAAAACCAGCACAGTTAGATAGCTGTAAACAATCTCTTTCCAACGGTGCCTCATTTAGGCATGTGTGTCATTTCTGAGCTGAGATATGTAGGTTTTTGTGGAGATATGTAGAAATAGAAAGCAGCTGCTAAAACTTGTGACCCAGAAACAAGAAGTTTTCTCTGCGCAACCAAACTGCGCACTTATCGTTTTGGCTTTGTTTACATTGGACTGTCATTGGACAAGATGGCAGGCAATGAGACACAGCCACTGGCTGAGCCAGCGATTGCCTGAAAAATGTCACTGTACATCTACCTAGCCACTGACAAGAAAGAAATTTGGCTCTCCTGTCAAATCCGGACAAAGAATAAAAAGCCTTGGACGACTTAGTCAGAGTTCTCTCCCTTGGCCGCACTGCGAACAGTGATCGGAAAAGCCAACGAAACAAACGACACACTTACCTATCATCATACGGCTGCGTGTAGGGTTGCGTACGGTTGCGTGAGGCATCGTGAATGGTTGTGTAGTCATCATGCGGTTGTTGGGTTAGAGTTAGGGGTAGGGTTAGGGTTAGGGTTAGATGTGAAAATTTTGACGTAGGGTTTCGAAATACTGGCCGACAATCTGATGTTTGTGGGCGTGGCGCCACTGAAATGCTGCTTAATATGACGCCAATAGTGTGCGGCTGGTGCCCAATCGTTGGCGAATTGTGCGTTTGACCAGCATCCAGAGGCCCTCAATTGTTTGTGTGTGTATGTGACTGTGTACGGCGTCGACGAAGTTGGTGTGGTGGACTACTACCTTGTGCAGATCGATGCCATGCCGTAAGTTTGCCACGTTGCTGTAGCCTCGCCAAGCGTCAGTCACGATAGTCGTTCCCGGCAACTAAGTCGTGCGTCGAAAGAACGATGTTAGTTATGTGAGTGCGTCTAACTGCCATGTTGCTCGTGTCGTTTGTTTCGTTGGCTTTTCCGATCACTGTTTGCAGTGCAGCCAAGGGAGAGAACTCTGACTAAGTCGTCCAAGGCTTTTTATTCTTCGTCCGGATTTTTAAAATTCCCTCTACACCAATAAAACCAGCACAGTTAGATAGCTGTAAACAATCTCTTTCCAACGGTACCTCATTTAGGCTTGTATGTCATTTCTGAGCTGAGATATGTAGGTTTTTGTGAAGATGAGATGTAAAAAACAGCTGTCGAAAACTTGCGTCAGAGAAACAAGAAGTTTTCTCTGCGCAACCAAACTGCGCACTTTCGTTTTGGCTTTGTTTTCATTAGACAAGATGGCAGACAATTTTTCTCAGACACAGCCACATATTAGCGATTGCCTGAAAAATGTCACTGTAAATCAAACTAGCCACTGATAAGAAAGAAATTTTATACACAAATATAAAATTGGACGGAGAATTCAATTATAACTAGCATTACCATGTATAGTATCAGTGAAAGCCTAAAGCCAACTTTGAATACTTATCTCTATTTTCAATCAAACTGATGTAACAGAAAAACAGGACGTCCTGCTGTCGTAGACATGCGCTGTTAATCGGGTTCGTTCCCGCCGTTTTCAGCTATTTATAGGTAGTGAAAATCACACCAATCGCAAAATTTCATGAGAGATTAGGACCCATCCCGAAACCCCAGCCGACATTTCCCAAACAAGTTTCGAACGGTTTCCATGGTAACGGAAATTGCCAAAAAGACCGCAAATTGTCGAAACTAGTCGCTAATAGAAGGCAGACATAGAAAAATAGGCTATCCTCCGAATAAAGGGCACAAAAGATGGCGGCCAAAAATAGGGCCCCAGTCACATGTCAATTGCGCACTTCCGGCGATCTAATTTGCGGTTTTTTGGCGACTACCGCCACTGCCGAGAGTATTTCCCACGCCGCTCACGCGACATGGATTGGGGCTAAACTAGATGGCTAGGACTCACGAGCAAAGCTGCAAGAGATGCTCGAAGCTGCTGCTCGTGAGTCCTAGCCATCTAGTTAGCCCCAATCCACGCGGCTCGGGGCATGCTCTCGGCGGTGGCATTAGTTGCCGGAAAACCGCAAATTAAGTTGCCGGAAGAGCGCAATTGACACATGACTAAAGCCCTGTTTTTGCACGCCATCTTTTGTGCCCTATTTTCGGAGGATAGCCTATTATTCTATGTCTGCCTTCTTTTGTGCCCGTTATTCGGAGGATAGCCGAATAATAATATTTGTATTGTTCTGTTGGCATTGTGCATGATAGATCAATTTAGATCTGTATAATGTTGACCACTTTTACTACCTAGAACATTTCCTCGTGTTTATTTCAGGCATTAGTCTTGACCTAACCACAAGACCAGGGTGCTGCAGCACACAGGTTGTAAAAACACTGTCTCAATCCAGCCTTCTTATTCACATACTGTGTCAGCACACAGGTTGAAAAACACTGTCTTACTCCAATCTGTGTAATGAAGGATTTCAGCGAAAGAAAGAAACAGTCACAGTGGCGATAGTTCTCGAAGATGCCTTTAACAGCGTTGATTTCACATATCTAATGCAGTGCTTGATTGACTGTGGTGTGAATCCTTGGTTAGCTAATTGAATGGGAGCAGCATTGTTGGAAAGAACAGTAGTATTTTGTACAAGGTGTGGTTCTACACTTTGTTAATAAACTTTCCTAAGCTTTTTCCCATTAGCGCCCTATGTTGTTCCACTTAGTTTTCTCAGGATAGCTATCTTCCTTCTGGCCTTGGTTGCCGCCTTGTTGATATGTTTTCTCAGGATAGCTGCCTTTCTGCTGGCCTTGGTTGCCGCCTTGTTGATATGTTTTCTCAGGATAGCTATCTTCCTTCTGGCCTTAGTTGCCCCCTTGTTGATATGTTTTCTCAGGATAGCTGTCTTCCTTCTGGCCTTGTTGATATGTTTTCTCAGGATAGCTGTCTTCCTTCTGGCCTTGTTGATATGTTTTCTCAGGATAGCTGTCTTCCTTCTGGCCTTGTTGATATGTTTTCTCAGGATAGCTCTCTTCCTTCTGGCCTTGGTTGCCGCCTTGTTGATATGTTTTCTCAGGATAGCTCTCTTCCTTCTGGCCTTGGTTGCCGCCTTGTTGATATGTTTTCTCAGGATAGCTCTCTTCCTTCTGGCCTTGGTTGCCGCCTTGTTGATATGTTTTCTCAGGATAGCTCTCTTCCTTCTGGCCTTGGTTGCTGCCTTGTTGATATGTTTTCTCAGGATAGCTGTCTTCCTTCTGACCTTGGTTGCCGCCTTGTTGATATGTTTTCTCAGGATAGCTGTCTTCCTTCTGGCCTTGGTTGCCGCCTTGTTGATATGTTTTCTCAGGATAGCTGTCTTCCTTCTGACCTTGGTTGCTGCCTTGTTGATATGTTTTCTCAGGATAACTGTCTTCCTTCTGGCCTTGGTTGCTGCCTTGTTGATATGTTTTCTCAGGATAGCTGTCTTTCTTCTGGCTTTGGTTGCTGCCTTGTTGATATGTTTTCTCAGGATAGCTCTCTTCCTTCTGGCCTTGATTGCTGCCGCCTTGTTGATATGTTTTCTCTAAGATAAGCTCTCTTCCGAGGTTCTGGCCTCCTTGCCGCCTTGTTGATATTCCATTTTCTCAGGATAGCTGTTTTTTTTGGGGGAGGCCTTGTTGATATGTCTTTTTCTGCTGATAGCTGTCTTCCTTCTGGCCTTGTTGATATGTTTTCTCAGGATAGCTGTCTTCCTTCTGGCCTTGGTTGCTGCCTTGTTGATATGTTTTCTCAGGATAGCTCTCTTCCTTCTGACCTTTTTGCCGCTTTGTTGATATGTTTTCTCCATGTTAGCCTATCATCAAGCGTGACTCCGAGGTATGTGGGCTCCTTATCCCCTCTTAGTGGTATTCCATTTATCTGAATGAAGCCTGATTTTTGTTTTGGGAGAGGGTGAAGTGGGTGGTGCTACACTTGTCTATGCTGATGCTGATAAACTATTTATCAGCCCATGTAGCCGCTGCATCTATGGATCTTTGTAGCAAACAAACTCTTATCCATCCCTGCTAACTGCCACATAGTCAGGACAGCACTGTCCTGCTAATTCACACATAACTAGGACAGCACTACTACTGATAGTTGCTATATTCTGTACATTTTCAGATACTGCACACTTGTGAGCTAAGCAGATTGTGGTCCAGGACATTTGCAAATGGCCCCAGACAAAAAAATGACAGTGATTCAACAGATTCAACAGATTCTAAAACTTCACAACTTAATGATGCATCAGTCAAAAACAACTTGCCTCAAAAGTCTATTTGGTCTGAACCCATACCTGAGTATCTGAGAGGAGACCATTTGCCAGACCCTGTCAGAAATACAGAAAGGGAATATTTTGAAGCTGTTTCGAACCCTGATAAAAAAGCTTACTTGGACACACTATTATATTCTAGAGAGCGTGGTATCTCTAGAACTGTTAGCACCTGGTTGCAGTGGAACCTTAACATCAATGATGATCAAGAGATTGCAGCCATCATCGAGAAGAATGAGTTTATGCAGCACAAAAAGGATCAGAGGTTGGTTGGGTTGTTGTGGGAGTCACAGAATGGATCAATGGTTGGTTGGGTGTTGTGGGAGTCACAGAATGGATCAGCGGTTGGTTGGGTTGTTGTGGGAGTTGAGTCACAGAATGGATCAGAGGTTGGTTGGGTTGTTGTGGGAGTCACAGAATGGATCAGTGGTTAGTTAGGTTGTTGTGGGAGTCACAGGATGGATCTGTGGTTAGTTTAGTTGTTTTGGGAGTCACAGAATGGATAAGTGGTTAGTTTAGTTGTTGTGGGAGTCACAGAATGGATCAGTGGTTAGTTTAGTTGTTGTGGGAGTCACAGAATGGATCTGTGGTTAGTTTAGTTGTTGTGGGAGTCACAGAATGGATCTGTGGTTAGTTTAGTTGTTGTGGGAGTCACAGAATGGACCAGTGGTTAGTTTAGTTGTTATGGAAGTTGAGTCACAGAATAGAATGGAGTTAGTTGGGTTGTTGTGGGAGTCACAAAATGGATTACAGCTTGGTTAAGTTTGTTGAGTGGTTGTGGGAGTTTCGTGAGAGTCATAAAATAGATCAGACTTTGGTTGAATGTTAGTGAAAGTCATAAAATAGATCTGACTTTGGTTGAATGTTAGTGAAAGTCATAAAATAGATCAGACTTTGGTTGAATATTAGTGAAAGTCATAAAATAGATCAGACTTTGGTTGAATGTTAGTGAAAGTCATAAAATAGATCAGACTTTGGTTGAATGTTAGTGAAAGTCATAAAATAGATCAGACTTTGGTTGAATGTTAGTGAAAGTCATAAAATAGATCAGACTTTGGTTGAATGTTAGTGAAAGTCATAAAATAGATCAGACTTTGGTTGAATGTTAGTGAAAGTCATAAAATAGATCAGACTTTGGTTGAATGTTAGTGAAAGTCATAAAATAGATCAGACTTTGGTTTGAATGTAAGTGAAAGTCATAAAATAGATCAGACTTTGGTTGAATGTTAGTGAAAGTCATAAAATAGATCAGACTTTGGTTGAATGTTAGTGAAAGTCATAAAATAGATCAGACTTTGGTTGAATGTAAGTGAAAGTCATAAAATAGATCAGACTTTGGTTGAATGTTAGTGAAAGTCATAAAATAGATCAGACTTTGGTTGAATGTTAGTGAAAGTCATAAAATAGATCAGACTTTGGTTGAATGTTAGTGAAAGTCATAAAATAGATCAGACTTTGGTTGAATGTTAGTGAAAGTCATAAAATGGATCAGAGATGATTGGTTGAGTGTCTGTGGGTCGCAAAATTGATCTGTAATTGGTTAGTTAGTTAATTTTGTGATGGTTTTATGAACCAGACATTAGATCAGAGATGGCTTAGTTTTTTCAGGTTTTTATTTAGTAGTACTCGGCAATAGAAAATGATTGATTGCTTAGTTTTTCAGGTTTTAAATACGAAGTGCAGCGATTTTTTTTAGAAAAAAAAATTTACCCATAAAGAGTTCCTTGTTTTGACAACTAAAATATTTTTGCCACATCAAAGAAAATGAGTTATGGTAGGCACACTTCCTGAAAAAATGTGGCAGAGGTCCTTCTTCTCCTCCTTCACCCCCTTCCTTCCTCCTTCTTCTTCTTCTTCTTCTTCTCCTCCTCCTCCTTTTCCTTTTCCTTCTTCTTCTTTTTTTTTTCTTTTTCTTCTTCCTCTTCTTCTTCTTCTTCAACATTCATCAGTTTTAAACTATTTTGGAAAGTTCTAGTTGTTCATCCACTTCTGGACGGATCTTGTTCCAGAACTTGAGTTGGTGTTACACTTTCTACTTCATCCCATAGAGAACTTTAGTGCAAATTGATCAGCTCTTGTTTAAGTCCACACAGAGCCTGGCAGTAAATTGACTAAGGGCTTATACTCCATCTGGAGATGAAAAGCTGAAGAAGAAAAGACAGTGTCATAGAATTTCATCAGATAAGTGAATAAATGCAGTTAAATTAGTTCTATAATTAATGTGTATTGACCAATGTGGCAGGTATTTGGAGGAGAGAGAGAAAGCACTAGGCCCTGAACTGGCTGCAGCACATTTTATCCTAGCCCGCGGGGGCGCCGTCAGGTTTGTTGGACGCGACCAATGGCATTCCAAAGATGCCAAACTCAGCTATTCCATTCCTAGAATCAAGGTGCCGAATCTGTTTGTTGAAGCTGTTGATGCCAGCGGTATGAAGCTGACTTATGTTGGCTTTGATATTATTGGTGAGTCATTGCTTATGTCTGGTAGTACTAAAGTAAATGTTGGCTTTAATATTCTAGGTGAGTCATTGCTTATGTCTGGTAGTGCTAAAGTAAATGTTGGCTTTGGTATTCTAGGTGAGTCATTGCTTATGTCTGGTAGTACTAAAGTAAATGTTGGCTTTGATGTTCTAGGTGAGTCATTGCTTATGTCTGGTAGTGCTAAAGTAAATGTTGGCTTTGGTATTCTAGGTGAGTCATTGCTTATGTCTGGTAGTGCTAAAGTAAATGTTGGCTTTGATATTCTGGGTGAGTCATTGCTTATGTCTGGTAGTGCTAAAGTAAATGTTGGCTTTGGTATTCTAGGTGAGTCATTGCTTATGTCTGGTAGTGCTAAAGTAAATGTTGGCTTTGATATTCTGGGTGAGTCATTGCTTATGTCTGGTAGTGCTAAAGTAAATGTTGGCTTTGGTATTCTAGGTGAGTCATTGCTTATGTCTGGTAGTACTAAAGTAAATGTTGGCTTTGATGTTCTGGGTGAGTCATTGCTTATGTCTGGTAGTACTAAAGTAAATGTTGGCTTTGGTATTCTAGGTGAGTCATTGCTTATGTCTGGTAGTGCTAAAGTAAATGTTGGCTTTGGTATTCTAGGTGAGTCATTGCTTATGTCTGGTAGTGCTAAAGTAAATGTTGGCTTTGATGTTCTGGGTGAGTCATTGCTTATGTCTGGTAGTGCTAAAGTAAATGTTGGCTTTGATGTTCTGGGTGAGTCATTGCTTATGTCTGGTAGTGCTAAAGTAAATGTTGGCTCTGATGTTCTGGGTGAGTCATTGCTTATGTCTGGTAGTGCTAAAGTAAATGTTGGCTTTGATGTTCTGGGTGAGTCATTGCTTATGTCTGGTAGTGCTAAAGTAAATGTTGGCTTTGATGTTCTGGGTGAGTCATTGCTTATGTCTGGTAGTGCTAAAGTAAATGTTGGCTTTGATGTTCTGGGTGAGTCATTGCTTATGTCTGGTAGTGCTAAAGTAAATGTTGGCTTTGATGTTCTGGGTGAGTCATTGCTTATGTCTGGTAGTGCTAAAGTAAATGTTGGCTTTGATATTCTAGGTGAGTCATTGCTTATGTCTGGTAGTGCTAAAGTAAATGTTGGCTTTGATATTCTAGGTGAGTCATTGCTTATGTCTGGTAGTGCTAAAGTAAATGTTGGCTTTGATATTCTAGGTGAGTCATTGCTTATGTCTGGTAGTGCTAAAGTAAATGTTGGCTTTGATATTCTAGGTGAGTCATTGCTTATGTCTGGTAGTGCTAAAGTAAATGTTGGCTTTGATGTTCTGGGTGAGTCATTGCTTATGTCTGGTAGTACTAAAGTAAATGTTGGCTTTGATATTCTAGGTGAGTCATTGCTTATGTCTGGTAGTGCTAAAGTAAATGTTGGCTTTGGTATTCTAGGTGAGTCATTGCTTATGTCTGGTAGTGCTAAAGTAAATGTTGGCTTTGGTATTCTAGGTGAGTCATTGCTTATGTCTGGTAGTACTAAAGTAAATGTTGGCTTTGGTATTCTAGGTGAGTCATTGCTTATGTCTGGTAGTACTAAAGTAAATGTTGGCTTTGGTATTCTAGGTGAGTCATTGCTTATGTCTGGTAGTACTAAAGTAAATGTTGGCTTTGGTATTCTAGGTGAGTCATTGCTTATGTCTGGTAGTGCTAAAGTAAATGTTGGCTTTGGTATTCTAGGTGAGTCATTGCTTATGTCTGGTAGTACTAAAGTAAATGTTGGCTTTGGTATTCTAGGTGAGTCATTGCTTATGTCTGGTAGTACTAAAGTAAATGTTGGCTTTGGTATTCTAGGTGAGTCATTGCTTATGTCTGGTAGTACTAAAGTAAATGTTGGCTTTGGTATTCTAGGTGAGTCATTGCTTATGTCTGGTAGTGCTAAAGTAAATGTTGGCTTTGATGTTCTGGGTGAGTCATTGCTTATGTCTGGTAGTACTAAAGTAAATGTTGGCTTTGGTATTCTAGGTGAGTCATTGCTTATGTCTGGTAGTGCTAAATTAAATGTTGGCTTTGGTATTCTAGGTGAGTCATTGCTTATGTCTGGTAGTGCTAAAGTAAATGTTGGCTTTGATGTTCTGGGTGAGTCATTGCTTATGTCTGGTAGTACTAAAGTAAATGTTGGCTTTGGTATTCTGGGTGAGTCATTGCTTATGTCTGGTAGTACTAAAGTAAATGTTGGCTTTGATGTTCTGGGTGAGTCATTGCTTATGTCTGGTAGTGCTAAAGTAAATGTTGGCTTTGATGTTCTGGGTGAGTCATTGCTTATGTCTGGTAGTACTAAAGTAAATGTTGGCTTTGATGTTCTGGGTGAGTCATTGCTTATGTCTGGTAGTGCTAAAGTAAATGTTGGCTTTGATGTTCTGGGTGAGTCATTGCTTATGTCTGGTAGTGCTAAAGTAAATGTTGGCTTTGATGTTCTGGGTGAGTCATTGCTTATGTCTGGTAGTGCTAAAGTAAATGTTGGCTTTGATGTTCTGGGTGAGTCATTGCTTATGTCTGGTAGTGCTAAAGTAAATGTTGGCTTTGATGTTCTGGGTGAGTCATTGCTTATGTCTGGTAGTACTAAAGTAAATGTTGGCTTTGATATTCTAGGTGAGTCATTGCTTATGTCTGGTAGTGCTCAAGTAAATGTTGGCTTTGGTGTTCTAGGTGAGTCATTGCTTATGTCTGGTAGTACTAAAGTAAATGTTGGCTTTGGTATTCTGGGTGAGTCATTGCTTATGTCTGGTAGTGCTAAAGTAAATGTTGGCTTTGATGTTCTGGGTGAGTCATTGCTTATGTCTGGTAGTACTAAAGTAAATGTTGGCTTTGGTATTCTAGGTGAGTCATTGCTTATGTCTGGTAGTGCTAAAGTAAATGTTGGCTTTAATATTCTGGGTGAGTCATTGCTTATGTCTGGTAGTACTAAAGTAAATGTTGGCTTTGATATTCTGGGTGAGTCATTGCTTATGTCTGGTAGTGCTAAAGTAAATGTTGGCTTTGATGTTCTGGGTGAGTCATTGCTTATGTCTGGTAGTGCTAAAGTAAATGTTGGCTTTGGTATTCTAGGTGAGTCATTGCTTATGTCTGGTAGTACTAAAGTAAATGTTGGCTTTGATATTCTGGGTGAGTCATTGCTTATGTCTGGTAGTACTAAAGTAAATGTTGGCTTTGATGTTCTGGGTGAGTCATTGCTTATGTCTGGTAGTACTAAAGTAAATGTTGGCTTTGGTATTCTAGGTGAGTCATTGCTTATGTCTGGTAGTGCTAAAGTAAATGTTGGCTTTGGTATTCTAGGTGAGTCATTGCTTATGTCTGGTAGTGCTAAAGTAAATGTTGGCTTTGATGTTCTGGGTGAGTCATTGCTTATGTCTGGTAGTGCTAAAGTAAATGTTGGCTTTGATGTTCTGGGTGAGTCATTGCTTATGTCTGGTAGTGCTAAAGTAAATGTTGGCTTTGATGTTCTGGGTGAGTCATTGCTTATGTCTGGTAGTGCTAAAGTAAATGTTGGCTTTGATGTTCTGGGTGAGTCATTGCTTATGTCTGGTAGTGCTAAAGTAAATGTTGGCTTTGATGTTCTGAGTGAGTCATTGCTTATGTCTGGTAGTGCTAAAGTAAATGTTGGCTTTGATGTTCTGGGTGGGTCATTGCTTATGTCTGGTAGTGCTAAAGTAAATGTTGGCTTTGATATTCTAGGTGAGTCATTGCTTATGTCTGGTAGTGCTAAAGTAAATGTTGGCTTTGATATTCTAGGTGAGTCATTGCTTATGTCTGGTAGTGCTAAAGTAAATGTTGGCTTTGATATTCTAGGTGAGTCATTGCTTATGTCTGGTAGTGCTAAAGTAAATGTTGGCTTTGATGTTCTGGGTGAGTCATTGCTTATGTCTGGTAGTACTAAAGTAAATGTTGGCTTTGATGTTCTGGGTGAGTCATTGCTTATGTCTGGTAGTGCTAAAGTAAATGTTGGCTTTGATGTTCTGGGTGAGTCATTGCTTATGTCTGGTAGTGCTAAAGTAAATGTTGGCTTTGGTATTCTAGGTGAGTCATTGCTTATGTCTGGTAGTGCTAAAGTAAATGTTGGCTTTGATGTTCTGGGTGAGTCATTGCTTATGTCTGGTAGTACTAAAGTAAATGTTGGCTTTGATGTTCTGGGTGAGTCATTGCTTATGTCTGGTAGTGCTAAAGTAAATGTTGGCTTTGATGTTCTAGGTGAGTCATTGCTTATGTCTTGCACTCTATCCTGTGCAGTTTCTTTGATGTCATGGATGGAACCCAGTCCAGCACCTTTGGTTTCTCTCATCGACATTCATCTTAGGCTTTCTTCTGGACGTCCTCACTTCCTGTCTTTTTTATTTCCAAGTTTCAGTGCCTGCTTGGTGATTCTCTGCTCATCTATTTTCTCAGAATGTCCAGTGTAGCGCCGTCTTCTTTGTCTTGAAACTTCTGTTAGTTGTCTAGATATTTCTCTTATTTCTTCACCCTTATTCATTTCTTTCGACTTTACGTTCATCATTTTCCTTAGGCTTTGTTTTCGATTGCATTTCAGTTTGGTTCTATGTCTGCAGTGGTTCTCCAAATTTTAAATATGTTAAAATTGCAGTAACACTAGAATAGAAAATACGTAACTTGGTTTATGAACTATACAGTTTAAAGTTGTATATTTTGTTCTGGCTCGTAATAGCTGCTGATTCCTTGCCAGTGAATGTATCTTCTTGATCTGTTATTCATGTCCTCAGTGTATTTGAAGTACCAGTAATGTTCATTTAGATTTTATCACCACAATGCATCTCCAACACTTTGTCCCACATCTTAGCTGTAGACACTGTCAAGCTACTGTTGGTAGTATCTTTCCACTTGTATCGATATCTACCTCTTGCTCATCTGCCATTAGCTTCCCCTGTATTTTTTTTTTTTTTAAATTAGCGTGTTGTATCTTTTAATATGGCCAAAGAATATTTTCTCCTGTGAGAAATGAACAGTAACTGATTGAAGCTTTTAGGACACAATAGAGAGAGCTGGAATACAATAGAGAGAGCTGGAATACAATAGAGAGAGCTGGAATACAATAGAGAGAGCTGGAATACAATAGAGAGAGTTGGAATACAATAGAGAGAGTTGGAATACAATAGAGAGAGCTGGAATACAATAGAGAGAGCTGGAATACAATAGAGAGAGTTGGAATACTATAGAGAGAGTTGGAATACAATAGAGAGAGCTGGAATACAATAGAGAGAGCTGGAATACAATAGAGAGAGCTGGAATACAATAGAGAGAGCTGGAATACAATAGAGAGAGCTGGAATACAATAGAGAGAGCTGGAATACAATAGAGAGAGCTGGAATACAATAGAGAGAGAGCTGGAATACAATAGAGAGAGCTGGAATACAATAGAGAGAGCTGGAATACAATAGAGAGAGCTGGAATACAATAGAGAGAGCTGGAATACAATAGAGAGAGCTGGAATACAATAGAGAGAGCTGGAATACAATAGAGAGAGTTGTAATACAATAGAGAGAGTTGTAATACAATAGAGAGAGCTGGAATTAAATAGAGAGCTGGAATAGAGAGAGTTGGAATACAATAGAGAGAGCTGGAATACAATAAAGAGAGTTGGAATACAATAGAGAGAGTTGGAATACAATAGAGAGAGTTGGCAATACAATAGAGAGAGTTGGCAATACAATAGAGAGAGCTGGAATACAATAGAGAGAGTTGGAATACAATAGAGAGAGATGGAATACAATAGAGAGAGTTGGAATACAATAAAGAGAGTTGGAATTAAATAGAGAGAGTTGGAATACAATAGAGAGAGTTGGAATACAATAGAGAGAGATGGAATACAATAGAGAGAGATGGAATACAATAAAGAGAGTTGGAATACAATAGAGAGAGTTGGAATACAATAGAGAGAGCTGGAATACAATAGAGAGAGTTGGAATACAATAGAGAGAGAGCTGGAATACAATAGAGAGAGTTGGAATACAATAGAGAGAGTTGGAATACAATAGAGAGAGCTGGAATACAATAGAGAGAGTTGGAATACAATAGAGAGAGTTGGAATACAATAGAGAGAGCTGGAATACAATAGAGAGAGATGGAATACAGTAGAGAGAGTTGGAATACAGTAGAGAGAGTTGGAATTAAATAGAGAGAGCTGGAATACAATAGAGAGAGTTGGAATACAATAGAGAGAGCTGGAATACAATAAAGAGAGTTGGAATTAAATAGAGAGAGCTGGAATACAATAGAGAGAATTGGAATACAATAGAGAGAGCTGGAATACAATAGAGAGAGCTGGAATACAATAGAGAGAGCTGGAATACAATAGAGAGAGCTGGAATACAACAGAGAGAGTTGGAATACAACAGAGAGAGTTGTAATACAATAGAGAGAGTTGGAATACAATAGAGAGATTTGGAATATAATAGAGAGAGCTGGAATACAATAGAGAGAGCTGGAATACAATAGAGAGAGCTGGAATACAATAGAGAGAGCTGGAATACAATAGAGAGAGCTGGAATACAATAGAGAGAGCTGGAATACAATAGAGAGAGTTGGAATACAATAGAGAGAGCTGGAATACAATAGAGAGAGCTGGAATACAATAGAGAGAGCTGGAATACAATAGAGAGAGTTGGAATACAATAGAGAGAGCTGGAATACAATAGAGAGAGTTGGAATACAATAGAGAGAGCTGGAATACAATAGAGAGAGTCGGATATAAGAAGGCACTTGAAACAGCAGAGAGAAAAAGGATATAAATACATTTAATTGCCTATCCTTTACTGAATGTTGCCAGCATGTTTTGACTGTTTGGTTTTACTGGGCATTATTACATTCAGTAGTTTGCCTTTGAAGCTGAAATATTTTGGTCATATCAAGAGATATTGGAACAAATAATAGCAGAAGTCATGGTACCAGGAAGGAGGGGCGGGGGCCTACCAACATGAAGATGGGCACATGATATAAGTGTCTTCTAGAGTATCAAAGTACATGCGGCCGGAGAGCTGGCGAGAGACTGTGATGAGAGCAGGTTCTGCAAAAGACCTGCTTGATGATGATGATGAGTTTGCCATTGCTTTCTAAACAGTTGACTCTTGATTTCAGTGTCAGAATCAGTGCAAAGCGGTCGACTGCCAGATCACCCACAGCAGAAATCAGAACTATGTATGTCTGAATTACAAACTGCGTTCACAGCGTCTGTTTGCTCTAACACACACACATAACATACAGGCTTTCGCCGGCACTCATGTAACGCTGTGTCTATATATATATATATATATAGTCTAAAGCATGTTGCAACCTGTTTCAGGAAAACTGTCTCAGTTGAAATTCCTGAAGTTTAACAACTGTCCTTATTTCAATGACTGGTGTCTGAGTCGGCTGCAACGTGTGAGCCAGACCTTGGAGTGTCTGGAGATCAGTAACTGTCCTGGGGTCACGGACAACGGCTTGGCCACCCTTCACTGTCTCCAGTAAGTATTGTCAGGTCTCTCATGCCCTTGGATGCTTGCACCATCTTTTTCTTGTTCTTTGGCTTTTGCTGTCCATTGTCTGGATCTCTGTCTGATATTGTAATCACATCAAGATGACTTTTTTTTTCTGTCTGCCTGCTTCCTACTTTGGGGGGGGGGGGGGGGGGGGGGGGGTTAAAATATTGTCTGTTTCACTCTCTATTTATTCTGGCTCATTCTTGATGCTCTGTAATGACACCTTCTTCTTTGCTTTCACCTACTGTAAACTCCAACAAACAGTTCTGGTTGTTTGTCCACCTCTGGACTACAGGTTTCAGAACCTCAGTTTTGCGTGTACATAACATTGTGACAAAGTTGAAGGGAAAAGGAGACTTTTTTACTTGAGAAATGTCTGCAGCTACTCTGAGGTATGACTTAGCCTGCAGCACCTTTAGCCTATCTGCAATAGTCAGAAATGCAAGGATGTATCACATGCACACAATTGGGGTGTCTCTTGTACAACCCAGGATCACCCGGGTAGCTTCATCTTTGTAGGCGCTGCATACCTGAGTCTGAGGAAGTAACTGATGTATGGAGTTACTGATGTATGGAGTTACTGATGTATGGAGTTACTGATGTATGGAGTTACTGATGTATGGAGTTACTGATGTATGGAGTTACTGATGTATGGAGTTACTGATGTATGGAGTTACTGATGTATGGAGTTACTGATGTATGGAGTTACTGATGTATGGAGTTACTGATGTATGGAGTTACTGATGTATGGAGTTACTGATGTATGGAGTTACTCAGAGTCTGTATGGAGTTACTGATGTATGGAGTTACTGATGTATGGAGTTACTGATGTATGGAGTTACTGATGTATGGAGTTACTGGTGTATGGAGTTACTGATGTATGGAGTTACTGATGTATGGAGTTACTGATGTATGGAGTTGCTGATGTATGGAGTTGCTGATGTATGGAGTTGCTGATGTATGGAGTTGCTGATGTATGGAGTTGCTGATGTATGGAGTTGCTGATGTATGGAGTTTGCTGATCCGTAGCACCTGTGCTGATGTATGGAGTTGCTGATGTATGGAGTTACTGATGTATGGAGTTACTGATGTATGGAGTTACTGATGTATGGAGTTACTGATGTATGGAGTTACTGATGTATGGAGTTGCTGATGTATGGAGTTGCTGATGTATGGAGTTGCTGATGTATGGAGTTGCTGATGTATGGAGTTGCTGATGTATGGAGTTGCTGATGTATGGAGTTGCTGATGTATGGAGTTGCTGATGTATGGAGTTGCTGATGTAGGGAGTTGCTGATGTAGGGAGTTGCTGATGTAGGGAGTTGCTGATGTATGGAGTTGCTGATGTATGGAGTTACTGATGTATGGAGTTACTGATGTATGGAGTTACTGATGTATGGAGTTACTGATGTATGGAGTTACTGGTGTATGGAGTTACTGGTGTATGGAGTTACTGGTGTATGGAGTTACTGGTGTATGGAGTTACTGGTGTATGGAGTTACTGGTGTATGGAGTTACTGGTGTATGGAGTTACTGGTGTATGGAGTTACTGGTGTATGGAGTTACTGGTGTATGGAGTTACTGGTGTATGGAGTTACTGGTGTATGGAGTTGCTGGTGTATGGAGTTGCTGATGTATGGAGTTGCTGATGTATGGAGTTGCTGGTGTATGGAGTTGCTGATGTATGGAGTTGCTGATGTATGGAGTTGCTGATGTATGGAGTTGCTGATGTATGGAGTTGCTGATGTATGGAGTTGCTGATGTATGGAGTTGCTGATGTATGGAGTTGCTGATGTATGGAGTTGCTGATGTATGGAGTTGCTGATGTATGGAGTTGCTGATGTATGGAGTTACTGATGTATGGAGTTACTGATGTATGGAGTTACTGATGTATGGAGTTACTGATGTATGGAGTTACTGATGTATGGAGTTACTGATGATACATGAAATTTTGCTCTGTACCAGATGAGTTGATTAAATAATGTTTTCTTTATTTACCATAGTCTGCATTTGTTGTCTCTTTGACGACTGTCTAATAAAGTTGTAATTAATATTCATAAGATTACCTTTCTTTGGAATTAACCAAGCCAGCTGAGCCGGAGATTGTTCTGCATGATGGTCTCTCCACAACTGCCCATGATTTTTTTTTTTTAAGGAGAGGAGCAGTTTAATTCCTGGCCCTAAATGTTATCACCATGGGCTGTGATTCCAAGCAGAATGTTGCACTGTTGTCAGGACGGACGGAAAGGTGTCAACAAACAAATAAATATTGAGCAAGGTATGCACTGATTTAGATGAACAATAATTGTTTCTGAAATGTTGTAAGAGAACTCACACTAAGGTACTCTCCTCAGAAAACTGAAAGTTCTGCGCCTGTCCCAGCTTTCAAATGTGAAGCACCTCGGGCTACTGGCTCTTCTTCTAGAGGAGCACATCCCGGAACTTGCTGTGCTTGGGGTCACAGAAGAGGAGCTGGAGCCTGTGTCCTGCCAGCACCGGGGCGAGAGAAGACTGGTCAGAGCTTTGCTGGGCTGTCTAGATGATGCTGATGATTTGGTTGACCAGAAAATGCACGAGTTCAATAAGATGACCCCAGATGATTACAAGAGGTTTGCCCGGCCCATCGATTGACATGTCAGTGCTGAAATGGTTACTAAAATAATGATCACTGGTCGAGTTGATGTCAGGAAGTAACTAAACACAACACAGACCACGACTGTTTATTGTGTGACCTATGACTGTTTATTGTGTGACCATGACTGTTTATTGTGTGACCATGACTGTTTATTATGTGACCATGACTGTTTATTGTGTGTCCATGACTGTTTATTGTGTCCATGACTGTTTATTGTGTGACCATGACTGTTTATTGTGTGACCATGAATGTTTATTGTGTGACCATGACTGTTTATTGTGTGACCATGACTGTTTATTGTGTGACCATGACTGTTTATTTTGTGACCATGACTGTTTATTGTGTATCCATGACTGTTTATTGTGTCCATGACTGTTTATTGTGTGACAATGACTGTTCAATGTGTGTCCATGACTGTTTATTGTGTGACCATGACTGTTCAATGTCTGACCATGACTGTTTATTGTGTGACCATGACTGTTTATTGTGTGACCATGACTGTTTATTGTGTGTCCATGGCTGTTTATTGTGTGTCCATGACTGTTAATTGTGTGACAATGACTGTTTAACGTGTAGCTAGGACTATGTGTTTTTTTTGGGGGGTCTGACCATGACTGTTTATTGTGTCCATTTATAAACTCTGGTCACAACGTAGAGTCATTTTTATGCACATCTTTTCCTTTTCCTCCGTGATTTTTCTGGTCAAAGTTTGTGTTGTGTTTAGTTTCTAGTGTTAATACTAGCTGTGTGTCAGTCAGTCTTTCACGGATATTCTAGACTTTTCTACCCAAGAATGTAGAGGGACCTCATATTGTTGGATGAGTTTAGACAATCCTGTTGGGGTACACACATATTTACCCAATCATCCATTCATGGAACTACTTACTGTTCACCCATTATATACCAGCTGTACACACACACACAAAGTAATGAGAAATAAGTGCAAAACAGAAAACCCGATTATCTTAAATGATGAAGCAATAGAGGAAGTTGAAGAATTTATATACCTCTGAAGTAAAGTTACTCCAGATGGAGATTCTGAAAAGGATTAACATCAAGAATAAACAAAGCAAATCAAGCATTTGCCAATGGTAGTCAAAGGGATTTAGTTTGAAAACTAAACTCAGAATACACAAGAGCACAATTATAGGAATACTATTATACAACGGTGAATGTTGGGAAATGACAGTGGGAATTACACATAAACTTGAGACTTTTCAAAATAAATGTTTAAGGAGAATTCTACAAATATTTTGGCCAAACAAGATCCCAAATGAAGAACTGAGGAGGAAAACAGAATGTGCATCACTGGCAAATGTTGTTAAAGTAAGACGATGGAGATGGCTTGGACATGTTTGCAGAATACCTTGTGACACTCTGGCAAAAACAGCTCTCCGGTGGACAGCAGATGGGAAAAGGAGAAGTGGACGACCTAAGGAAACCTGGGGAAGGACAGTAGAATGGGAAATGAAGGAATGTAAACTGACATGGAATACCATAGGCAGAAAAGCAGCAGACAGGCGGCAAAGGAGATCACTTGTGAATGCCTTATGTGTCAACAGCGACATGAAGAGGATATAGATTTGGACACACATGTCATGATTTTAACAGGCTCACAAAGCTTGCTGGGAAAGGTTAGCTCCATTCAGAGTGGCAAGTATTTGCTACAGTGGTCCTCAGTAGTTAGCATCATTTGGATCTTTTCTCCGGGATGATGTGCATGTGTATTGGAACTGAACAGACAGTTTGGCTGGTTGTGCAGCATTCTATGGTGAACTGAACTGTGTGACAAGCTGTGTGTGTGTGTGTTGGAAACTGTTTGGGAGGAAGTCAACGTTTGGGAGGAAGTCAACGTTTGGGAGGAAGTCAACAGTGCTGAAGCACAAATACATCATTATGGTCTAAGGAGAACGGTAGAGCTGCGACTCATCAGGGAATCTGGCTGGCACTCTACACTCAGAGGAAGGCCAATAAGGACATATAATCAAACTGCTTCTTCTTCTTCTTCTCTTCCACCTTGTACCTCATCGAAGTGTTGGGGGGAGATGTAATGTTCATTGATGAGCTCTGTCAAGAGCACTATTAAGACTGATGTTCATAATCAAACTGCTACTAGTACCATATTCTTCTTTTTCTGCGCTCATCTGAAAATGTGGTTGCACTGTGCCTGTTTACTGCAAAGCTGCGATATGCAAATCGTGTACTAAAACACACCAATATTGACCAGGCTAATAGGACGTCATAAGCGTTACGTAATGTTTTTAGATGGCTGATATTTGGGGGAATTGCAGCCGAGAATTCCAAGAAGGCGGATGTGTGGTCTGGCCTTGATGTCAGCTGTAAAGCTGAGGCTTGACTGCCATGTCTGCAGGAAGCAGGATCATTTCTTACAGACATGTTAGCACAGCGGGACTGCTGGATCATTTTGGAAGAAAAGATGCAGACGTGTTTATCAGTTTGGGGCTGCTTATAGACTCGTTGAAGAAACTAGTATTGCTTCAAGGTCGAGCTGCGGACCTATAGTGTGCTGAAAACGAATCCGATGTGGAATATGGATTCTTATGTTTCATCTCACATCCAGTTGTTGAAATTTGTTTTTCTCATAACAACATACTGTATTTGAAATGTATCACTTAGCGTCATACTTGAACTATGTTACTTATAACTGTACTTGAAATGTATCACTTAGCGTCGTACTTGAACTATGTTACTTATAACTGTATTTGAAATGTATCACTTAGCGTCATACTTGAACTATGTTACTTATAACTGTATTTGAAATGTATCACTTAGCATCATACTTGAACTATGTTACTTATAACTGTACTTGAAATGTATCACTTAGCGTCATACTTGAACTATGTTACTTATAACTGTATTTGAAATGTATCACTTAGCATCATACTTGAACTATGTTACTTATAACTGTACTTGAAATGTGTCACTAAGTACAGTATTAGAAATGTGTAATCCGCCCCCAGCATCAAGTGTCTTCCCGACTGGTGTGGGCGATCATGCCTCCCCACAATCTGATTTTCAGCTGCCTGTATCTGTTCATGTGTTGACACTTCTTCTCTATGCCATGACAAAGGGCTATCAAGAATCTTCTCAGGCTGTTTTCCTCTTGCTCTCTTTCCACAGATCTTTTTAGTGTTCACATGTTCCAATTTCCTTCTTCTCATAACAAGACCTAACAATGATGACTGTCTCCCTTTCTGATGTTTGTGATAAGTTGTCTTCAAGCCACCAACTCTTTCAAAACATCTGGGTTACTTTTTTGACCGCCCAAGAAATCCTATGGATACTTCTATAAAACCACATCTCCCAGGCCTCAAAGATATTGTTTGGCATGTTTATTAATTGTCCAGGATTCACAGCCATATGTTGAAACTGGCTCTCTCTAGCGTGAGAAAATGAGTACTGTGTCATTACTGTAATAGAGATGTGTCAATGGTAATAGTAAAGTGAAGGGGACCCCCCCTCCACCCCCCCTGCCAGTTTTACATTGCACATTTATGTTGCCAGACTCATATGTTGTTATAGAGAAAATAGCACTCAGTTAATGATGTGGTCAACATCACACTGGCCGCCTTTACATCCCATGACTTTTCCAGGCACCCATTTTAGGCTGGGTCAGTCTGGGAACCAAAGTCGTTTCTGACAAAAGAATCCACCTTGGTGTTGGTTTGAACTCAAAACCTTTAGGCCCACTGGCAGGCATCTAGCCAGTGTGCTAATATGGCTGCCTTGTGTGGTAGTGAATTTTAAATGTATTGCTTTAAATATCTTACAAATACCATTAAAGAGTACTTGAAGTGTACTTAAAATGTCTTTGAGTTATTTGTGTCAGCCAGATTTAAAGTCACTTGTTGGTTTTGTTTCTTACAATGTGTTGGATTAGCTGTGTTAATTGCTCTAGTATGTTATTTTTTCTGAAGTGTGTCTTCTCACTTTTCCTTCATTTTTGTACATTGTACTGGACCATCTCTTTCTTTCCTTCTTTAAAGAAATAGTGTGCTCTTCTCATCTTTGTCCCTGCTCTCCCAATCTTCTCAGTCCACATCCATCTCCACTTCTCATCTTTGTCCCTGCTCTCTGAATCTTCTCAGTCCCCATCCATCTCCTCTTCTCATCTTTGTCCCTGCTCTCTGAATCTTCTCAGTCCCCATCCTCCTCCTCTTCTCATCTTTGTCCCTGCTCTCTGAATCTTCCCAGTCCCCATCCTCCTCCACTTCTCATCTTTGTCCCTGCTCTCTGAATCTTCTCAGTCCCCATCCTCCTCCACTTCTCATCTTTGTCCCTGCTCTCTGAATCTTCTCAGTCCACATCCATCTCCTCTTCTCATCTTTGTCCCTGCTCTCTGAATCTTCTCAGTCCCCATCTTCCTCCTCTTCTCATCTCTGAATCTTCTCAGTCCCCATCTTCCTCCACTTCTCATCTTTGTCCTTGCTCCCTGAATCTTCTCAGGCCTCATCTTCCTCCTCATCTCATCTTTGTCCCTGCTCCCTGAATCATCTCAGTCCCCATCCCCCTCCTCTTCTTATCTTTGTCTCTGCTCTCTAAATCTTCTCAGTCCCCATCCTCCTCTTCTTCTTATCTTTGTCCCTGCTCTCTGAATCTTCTCAGTCCCCATCCTCCTCCTCTTCTCATCTTTGTCTCTGCTCTCTGAATCTTCTCAGTCCCCATCTTCCTCCTCATCTCATCTTTGTCTCTGCTCTCTGAATCTTCTCAGTCCCCATCCTCCTCTTATCTTTGTCCCTGCTCTCTGAATCTTCTCAGTCTCTATCCTCCTCCTCCTCTTCTTATCTTTGTCCCTGCTCTCTGAATCTTCTACTATTCGTATTCTTCATAAACATCCTGTATCGCACATAGGCCACCTTTACTTCCCTGTACATTTTGTTGGGTTGACCAGCCAATGAAATGGAAGCTCACATTGAATGGGTTTTAACAGGACTACCAAGCTGACAGTTAAGCATGCTAGCCACTGCACCACTCA